TTGTTTGCCCACAGCACAGATTTGAAGTATCTTGTTTTGGTTTCCAAGGAATAATTAGACTGCATAACTTGCCTTCTTTATTACACATAATAGTTGTAGCTATCAGGAAAAAAATTGCTGCATCCTGGATCTTAACAAAAAATACTAAGATATAACGAGTGTAAGGAAGTGGATATTTAGGTCAGATTCTAAGTCTACATTTATTGAACCAGCTAAGTGTTTCAGAACATATTTAAACATTACATTTTCACTGTCACACATAGTCTTTACTGATGAGAGGCAAGCAGAATTCACAAAGTCTGTGCATTGCTGTCTCTCTGCTAAATTGTTAGTCACTGTTGAATTTTCACGCAAGCATTCCCTCCATTCCTATCCGCAAAGGATTTGGCTGCAAGTGGCAAAGATCTGTGACAGCCAGTTTTCAGATGGCCAATGGGATTTTTATAGAGATGCGAGAGATGCAAGGATGAACTCAATGAGAATTTCTTTTGGTTATACTCTTTTAACTTCAAGTGTGAAGCTTCCCACATTAGACACGGTGTTCCTAAAGCTATTCCCTTCTGAATTGTGCTGAATACCAGAATTTTGCTGAATTCAAGAGTCATTTCAGCCCATTTTCCCGATTTAGAAGTCAATACTGAACTAGGAGCCATGAGAATGGAAGCTTACTGGCCAGTAGTAGGATGCCAAATTCCTGAATCCTGATCCGAGTAATTATTACCTGTGCCAGCCATAGGAGGGATACATGCATAAGTATGTTCCAAGAACATTACTCCTTTGTAATAACTAAGACACTAGACATAGCCTCTAGGTGACGGACCAGACTGGCATGAACTGTTGAAGAGTCACCAGCTTTTCTTTCACCTCCTTTTCCAAGGTTTGTTTTACACACATTATAAGTCACCTGTTTCTCACATTGCTTCTCCATCACCCTGTCTCCTGTTCCTACTTACATTTCTAGGAACAAGGCTTCCACAAAGCACAAAGCATTCCTAGTTCTGTCTTACTACATCAAAGCAATGGAAAATAAAAGAGCGCTACTCCTTTGAAGATTATTTTAACCTCCAACATGTTTGTTCCCGATGTGAGAGACTTTACTGTTTCCCTATGAATTCTTTTTTTTTCTAACAGACATTATTTTCTTATAATACTTACAAACCTATTTTTATTGTCAAGTGGGTGATGATTTAGAAAGCAGATATCAGGTTTACATCCAATAACTTATACATATTTTATTTCCTGTCATTGATTACAATGCTCTGTCTGTAATCTAACTCATTCCACTTCCTCCCTGTGCTTCCTGTTTTCATTGCTCCTTCTTCCCTAACCCTACGGAACTTTGTCCTTGGGTGAATGATGCCCTTTTGATCTCAAATGGGTGATTGTTCTAAGGTCTGGTTCAGTGGGTACAAGTTGGGTTGTGATCTTCAAAGTTCGAAACCACCAGAAGCTCCTCTGGAGAAAGACTGGGCTCTCTACTCCTGTAAACAGTTACAGTCTCAGAAACTGGGAGGGGAAGTCGCTATGGGTCAACATTGACTCAATGGTAGTAAGTTTTGGTTTGGTGCACACCTTAATATGTTACTGTTCCCCGTGTAGGCTGATCTGCACTCTGGCTGAAAATTGAGCCATGGGGGTGAGTTCATTTCCGGACTTAAATGGTGACTAAAGGCCATAGTCCCAGAAGTTCTAAGTCTCTATCTGACCAGGCAGTCTGGTATTTGTTATGCTTTTGAGAGCCATTCTTCCACATTACCCTCCCACTCTAACCATTATCTTAAAAGGTGGTCTCAGGGTCATGGAGACTGATGTTGGTGCCAACCATTGGCACAATGGTTGGACTCATTGTTTCCATATGTCTTTCATTTCCATTGCTCTTCTTCCCTCGGGACAACGGGAGACCAATGCTCGTACCTCTGATGATGACTTGTGAGCTTTTAAGAACAGTCCTTACTGGGCAAAGTAGGATATAGCATACTGTCTTTGTGTACTATGTGACACAAATTGACCTTCGTGTCCCCTGAGAGTATGGGACTGGGGGCCCAGGCCCACCAAATAATTATTTCATTATTTCAAGGTGCTTGGTTATACCTAAGAAGTTTTCATAATTTCTTCCCCTCATCATCATACCC